ATTATTAATTGCATACATGGAACGGGGGTGGAAACTTGAGGACACTAATGACTAATGAGCCTGAAAGAAAGCGACTTTGAAAGCGCAAAAAAACAAGGAAGAAGAAAACGACATTCCTGAGCTCTGATCTATAGGCAAAGGGAAAGAGATCCATTTTAATATATATACACAAAATTTATTCACACTCTCCCTCGCAGGTCGTAACAACTAGATTCCTTGCCGAAACCAGGACAAATTACTAGGGGTCGAAGCATACCTGAGCATTGACCCAGAAAAATATGTATATTTTAATTGCTTAGATTATAAAATTCAAGTGTGTGGCGAGTAAACTTTTGAGATGGTTCATTGGTTCTGAGAGATTCATCAGTCAATTCGTTTTTATAGTTGTGCACAAATTTTGTCGAAGTGGAGACAGTTAATTTTAATTTGAAACACTTTTGTCACATTTTTAATGTTCATGCACTGACTTCAAAATCTCTATAATGACTCAATCAACGTAAAAGAAGAATCTTAAACCATGATCAGCTTTTCTCACCATTTTTCGAAACTTAGAGCTGTTCTACTTCTACCCGCAATGGAATGTTGCATACGCACTTTAACATCCCAATAATTAATTTCACATTGGATTTTCTCGTGTCTTATAATTTATGAGACGACTATTATTTTGTCGTGAGAGAGCGTGTGTTAATGAGCATAAGTCTTATAGGTATGTCCAATCACTATTTTTTGTTCAGATGCATTAATGTATTATTAAATATTACTCCTATGTTTGTACATGCTTGTGTGTGTATTATTGATGAATGAGACTCCTAACCAAACCATATAAGGAAGTATTTGGATAGAAACTAAACTATGATTTTAAAAGTGTTTTCACAATTTACGAAATAAATATATCGAAGAGTTTGTCCCGTTTTACAGAAATGCCAAGCACCGCGCTAATGCTGTCAGTTACAGTAATGTTTATTAGACGGAGATATGTTCTTTACCGCGTAACCTAGGGACACTGGTCAGTGGTGACTGATCACATCTGAAAAGTGAAGACCATATTTATTTCCTTCTACCTTCAATGTATTTTGACTTTTCTAGCTGTGAAGTAAATATTGCTAATTTCATACTTTATCTGGTCCTTAATATAAAATTTAGTTAATTAATTTAAAAATAAAAAAATTAATTAAGTTAGTTATTTGTACTACCTTTGGTCCTAATTATAAGACCTCATTTGTAGACAAACAAGGTCTAATAATTAAGACCAAAAATAGTAATAAATAGGTATTGTATTTACTAAAATACTCTTACTAATAATATGTATTAGCTAGAATCATTATTTAATGAAACTTTTAACATGTACAACTATTACAATGACTATTTTAAAAAAATAGATAAATATGAAGAAAAAAAGTGAATTCAGGTCTTATATTTAAGACCAGATGAAAAGTCAAACAATGTCTTATATTAAATATCGGAGGTAGTACAACAAATACATTGAGAAATTATTATCCCACTAAGTGAGGTTAATTATAAGAATCCTTTGATGTCATTGTGCTCTGCTCATTGTTAATTTCATAACTACATAACATTTTGTTCTTCTTATTTTTTTAATTCCTCCAAAATTATATATTCTTAATTTAACTTCTTATATATATGAGAAATTTTAATCTACGCAGTCATGAGTTTCTTTTTACTTGAATTGATACTTTCACATGTAAATATTTCAAATTTAAATTTTGCAAATAATTTATAATTTAAAAAACAGAAGTAATTTAGGTGACACTTGATGATCTTGCCTGCTGATTTAGATCTGTCCAAACCTGTTTTGATTCATTAACCCAGTTCATGGTATCGGCTCTACGTCAATAATTCTAAAGAAACATTGCTCGTATTTAATATATATGTCATTAAAAAAATAATTATCTACCCTGTAGTATATGAAAAACATAATAGTATATTCATACTAAAATTTAAATAAAATAACTTATAAATAAAATTAAGAAAAATAATAAGAGGAGTGATTCACATATAGACATCCATAAGCACAAGCAGGCGCGTCAACAAATAAATAAAAGTGATTTCGTATGATAAATAAATAAGAGGATTTATTACAGACTTCAAATTTTATATTGATGCGTTCGTATTTTAATATTTTTAATTGGAAAAACAAGTAAAATTAATTTCCTAATTCCTAACCCGTCGCCTCCTCGCCTTTTGTCAGCCATGACGAACTGAGTTTGACCGTGGGGGGCTTGAAGCGCAAGAAAAGTCACAGGCAACACAATACCTTATAAAGTAATAAAAGAGGTTAAAGCAGAATCATATATATAAAAACATCAATTCATTTTATTTTATATATTTATATTTTTTATAAAAAAATTAATTTATCTGGCTTATAAATTACTATATAATATAATATTATACAGAAATATTTTAGGAAGATGATATCATATATAAGAATATTTATCTAACTAATTTATCTAATTTCTTAATATATCAAAATTAATTAAGCAGATGTAGTATTAGAGAGGCAGATTTTATTTAGGGATAATTAATCTCCAGGTCCTTATAATTTCATCTGATTTTTAATTAGGTCCTTATAAAATTTTTTCTTTTTATCAGCTCCTTTTACTTTCGTGTGTTTTTAATTAGGTCCTTCTATTTTTTTTTTTTATCAGGTCCTTATAGTTTCATTTATTTTTTAATTAGGTGCTTTGTAGTTTTTGAAAAATTATTTATTAACTTTATTCTTTAAAATTAATTTCATTTTTAAATTAATAATTATATAATTAGACAAAATAATTAATATAATCATTTAGTAATTAATAAATAATCAGAATAATAACTATACTTAAATATAAATTATTTATAATCATATTTTAATTTTAGAAAAATTTATTATTATAATTTGAATTTTATAATTGTAAAAATTTGAATTGAAAATAAATAATATATTTGTTTAACTAAAAATTTAAAAGAATATTAACATAAGATTGTTACAATAATTTATTATTTTTAAAATTTTGTTATTTGTAAAATAAAAAATAAAAACTACAAGGGCCTAATTAAAAACAAAGTAAAACAATAAGGACCTGATAAAAAGAAAAAAAAATTATAAGGACTTGATTAAAAATATATGAAAGTATAAGGACCTGATAAAAAGAAAAAAAATTATAGGGACCTGATTAAAAACCAGTTGAAACTATAAGGACTTATATATTAATTATCCCTTTTATTTAATTAATTTACTTTTATTTTAAAAAACCTTTTTTTTTCCAGCGAACCTAGACAACATTTTGCGGAACTTAGAAATGCTAACATTGATTTACATTTGGTCAAACTTGCTATCGTCTTTTCAAAATTAAATTATATAAGAGTTAGTTGACTAATTTGAGAAGATTAAGAAAATAAATAAAATTAATTATTTGTAATAAATAAGTACTGTCTTTACTAAAATATCCTTGGTAATCAATTATATTGGCTAGAACTACTATTATTAGAAGGATTACCTTAGGAACAAACACATAAATATTAGAGATAAAGTACATTGGAGTTTTATATTTAGAATCCAAATAAAAATCAAACAAGATCCTTATATTAAGAATCGAAAGTAGTATTGCGTAATGGAAAAAGTCAAAAGCGCACTTTACCTCATAAATTGACACGATTTAATAATCAATCACATTTGCTTCGTATTGCCGCCATAATTTGACCAAATCATAGACGCAAAATTCTCATACCCGGAGTTGTTATTACTTTAGGGTTGAGAAAGGACGAAGAAATTTCCTAGAACACCTAATTCCCACCCAGTTACCTTTCTCTTCTATGAATGTTTATTTATAATATCTGTTTCATATCTGCTCTGGGATTCATCGGATGAAATGAAGAAAGAACGTAATTACTGAACTATTGACCAGTAGATGGGTATTTGTGTCGAAGGCTTAGCCAAAACTAATCATATACTGATAGGATTTTTTTTTTTTTTGTGTGTTTGAATATCATGACTAGAATTTCACAAATTAAAAAAATTAGCTCTCTGAGGTAATGTTTAACTTAAAATCCATTTTTAATCTCTCGAAAATGTATATTTTTATACTATTAATTTGGTGTTGTCTGAGAAGTGTTGATCAAGAGAATTACTACCTTGAATTATCAATATAAAAACTAGATAATTAATTTATAAATTTAAAAAAAATAGTTAAATCAATTATTTATAATAAATAAATGTTGTGTTTTCTCAAATATTTTTATTAATTATGTGTATTTGACTGAACATCCTTTAATTCCATATGAGCTATTTTGAAAAAACATATTGAATGTAATCTGTTATTAATAAACACGTCGGTATCTTTCCAAGTACGGATCTCATAAATATATATATATAAATATATATATATATTTTAAGAACATGTATTTCCCTTTTGAGACATATTGGTCTCGGAAAGACGGAAACCCAAAATGTGAATGTCATATCGAGATGAAATAAAGTGACGAGCTTGCCTCATGCTTAAAAGTGATACTCGAGCAATGAGCAAATGGTCAACCTGGCTCTGGCATTGTGGAGTTGCATCATCGACAATCTGATTAGCAAAGGGACGGTATTATTGGAAGTTCCCGATAACGCCTGATTAGCAAATGGTTTTGAGGAGGATGACATCACTTAGATCCCAAAGGATGCCATTCAGTGTGGAATAAAGTGATGAAACGACCTCCTTAGCAGGTGCCTTTTCCATCCCCAGATCAGAGGCAGAGAAAAAGTTGAAGCAGGTACAAGAAAGCAAAGGGGAAAAACAAAAGGAGGCCCCTGCACTTGAGATGCGAGGGAAATCACCCAAATTAGTGGATCCATTGTATTCTTGAAGAAAATTATACGCTGAAATTCTATTATTAGCTACCGCAAAATAACTCCAGGACAGAGTATTGTATTTTACTTGGGCTCAGTAAATTAGACGGAGGCAGTGGCACAAGGTACAGAATCTGGTGTAGCCATGAAACTGAAACTGAGAAAAAAATAATCCAAATGACCGAAACTTTTGAAAGAAAAACGTCTACCAAGTTTCAGTACATCCAATATGGACCTGTGATTTTTACAAACATGTCCCCGGCATTTCTTGATTGCACCACCAAGTCCACAAGCTTGCACGCAGAAAGACGGCGGGGACCTGATTGGACTGATAAGACGAAAACTAATGCTAAGAATCTGCTTAGGAAATCATAGCACGTCAACAAGATCAACAACAGATGCTTGTTGGAACAATGATTGTTTAAAATTTATGAAGGCAGTGGAGGAAAACATCCTAGATGCTAGGAATCTAAAATCGCCATCAATATGCTCCATGCAACACCAGTATATTCCCCTTATAGTGCTATCTTTATTCTAAAATTGTTGATCATCTGGAGCAAATCATGACCTTATTAGACATAAAAACGTCAAAAATCTAACAAGACTAGAAATACATCAATCACCAAAAATCAGCATGAACAGCTAACTTTCTTCGAAGGAACAAGAAGCCAATGAACACACACTCATTCTGACCTAGCCGCGAACCTCTCAACCTTTTTGTCTGTCAAATTGAGCCCAACCATGGCTTCGCCTAACCCGCAGCTCACTTCGGCCAAAATCTCAGGATCACTATAATGGGTCACAGCCTGCACAATAGCCCTGGCTCGTTTTGCAGGGTCACCACTCTTGAACACACCAGACCCTACGAAAACCCCATCACACCCTAATTGCATCATCAAGGCGGCGTCAGCTGGAGTCGCAACTCCACCTGCCGCGAAGTGAACCACAGGAAGCCGACCTAACTGTTTCGTCTGCATCACCAAATCATATGGAGCTCCAATCTTCTTTGAGAAGGTGAAGACTTCGTCATCATCCATGGTCCGCAAAGACCTGGTGTCACCCATCACCGACCTCACATGCCTCACCGCCTCAATGATATTCCCGGTCCCTGCTTCCCCTTTGGTACGAATCATTGCCGCACCTTCCCGAATTCGCCGGAGAGCTTCCCCGAGGTTACGACACCCACAGACAAAAGGAATGCGGAAGTTGTGCTTGTTGATGTGGTTCTCGTCGTCGGCGAGGGTGAGGACCTCGCTCTCGTCCACGTAATCGATGCCAATCGCCTCGAGGATTTGAGCTTCCACAAAGTGTCCTATACGGGCCTTCGCCATCACAGGAATCGTCACCGCCTGCTTGATTTCCTTTATGAGTTGCGGGTCGCTCATGCGAGCAACGCCGCCTTGAGCCCGGATATCGGCAGGAACACGCTCCAGTGCCATGACGGCGCAAGCCCCGGCCTCTTCGGCGATGCGGGCCTGCTCGGCGTTCACAACGTCCATGATAACGCCGCCACGGAGCATCTGAGCAAGACCCACCTTGACAGAGAAAGGAGTTTTCTTGGTCTCTGCAATGGCGCCATTACCGTACACAGTAACCACCCCAGATCCTTCCATTTGCAGAGGAAGCAAGGAAAGGTGAAAAGGCAACAGAGACTGGAAAAAAAAACAAAAAAATGGAGCTACAGAGAAAGAAGCAGTGGCGGTGAAATGGGTTTCGAGGAGGGAGATGGCTTAAGTAGTGAGATGGTGCGCCTGCGAGGTAAGACCAATAAAAGATTTAGGGCTGCGTATTGCAGTCTGAGATAAGAATACAAATTTTCTATTTTCTTTTGGTGTAATTATAGAATCTCTATTTACTGTAACAATTAATTAATAATATTAATATCAACTGGATTTGTCGGGGCAATCCAACTAGCATGTTGGCCAAAAACCAGAAGCAAAACCCAGTTGCTTTTTGTCGTTCGCGGGCAATTTGAGCAAGAGGCTATGAAAAAGAAATTATATTTACCAAAATGCTGTAAGGAGATTTATGTAGATGTTTACAATGAAAACAAAAAATTGTCTCTGAAATTAATGTAAGAGGGGGCTCAGGATATTTTGCATTTGTAATGCCTCTAACATTTTAAAATATTTTTTAGACACATCTAGTACCGTAAAATATTTTTTTTATACATTCAGCATTTTAAAGTATTTTTTCTGTACATCCAGTATTCAGAAATAATTTTTTGTGTATCCAGCACTAAGTCAAAAAAAAAAAAAAACTTCAAAGTATTAGATGTATCTAAAAAATATTTCGAAACACTGGATGCATTGTAAAATATTTCAAGGTCTTGAATGTATTTAAGAAAATACTTTAAATATTAGATACACCTTAATGCATTTTAAATTGAAAATCTGGAAACTTTTTCCCAAAAAAATAATAATAAAGTGCAGAACTTGGCCCGTAGTACTCTCTCAAATCCTAAATATAAGACCCATTTTGTAGTGTAACCGGAAGAGTATTATATTTGTTTTAAGAAAAAAATTGAATCTGGATCATATCGAGATCCAGATCTAGATTTATAGCATATGACTATAAGGAAATAATTTTCCGGACGAGAAGCATTAATTTTTTTTTGGGGCTCAAATTACCTCGTTAGAGTTTTCTATTTAAATAACTTATCACCGTCCCATGCTTTCTTTGTGTGTTTTTTTTTTTTTAATTTCTGTGCAAACAATGTCTCATGAAACAGCTTGTAATCACGCTGTTTCTTTTCTTTTCTTTTTTTTAACACTGTTTCATTGACGAAAAGCTGCGAGCAATCTTACCCATAGTCTGCGATAATCATTTTATCATTTTTTTTCAGATAACAATATATTAATACGTACGTGAATATTATATATATAATAAAAAAAATATAAGTTTGAGGTTGAGTCTAGTAAAAATAAAAAGGATACTCCTTTTTTTTTTTTTGACCGGAAAAAGGATACTCCTTTACAATATAGTGAATAAGGTTTAAATTCTTGCTAAAGATTCACATAGAATATTTGAGTCTCTCGAACAGAATCACTTTTATTTATTAAAAGAATACACATACCCATAAATAAAAAAGTATGAGTTTCATGTACCCTTGCAGAAAGGGCAAAAAGTTAAAGTTACTTATCTTTCTACTTAACCGCATATAAAACTAGCATTTTTTTTAAATATATATATATAAACAGAAGGTCTCAAATTTGAATTCATGTAAATATGAAAAATATATTTGAGAGAATTATTTTCAATTAAACATGATAATGTTCAAATATAATTCAATGCCATAACCATATGAAAAACTGAGGATTCGAATCATGTCATACCTTGACAATAATGTTATGTCCAACTTCACGATTTTTTCCGAATCAAATTTTTTTTTAAAAAAAAAAATTAACACATCATGGTTGAGCTTCCAAACTCTGTTAAACCCCAGTTAACCATTAAAATTTCTGGGGGCGGAACCCGCGGGGCCAAATACTGCAATTAGTTAATTACAGCCTGTGCTGCTTGGATGGTAGGACATTGTTTCCTCCATTTTTTGTCTTAACAACAGTCAAATAAGCTACGGAGGTGCAGACCCCTTTTTTTTAATATATATATGTATGTGTGTATATATATATATATATATATATATGAAACCACGTGGGGGAAAAAAAGGGATGGTGAAAAATGCAGCCCCTCACAGCCCCACTTCTCATAAAAGTAGCAGGACAAACAGAAGGAAGAAATCAAAAAGAAGACGGAAAAGTGAGTAATGACAAACGAACATGGATGGACGGAATCATATCCTCTCAGCCAATTAGAGATTGCCAACGTGGCGATTGAGACCAGATCGAGACCGCAGCCGCGGAGAAGCGACCCCCACCCTAGACCGAGGCCGGCCATAAGAAACCAATTTTTTTTTAACCCAAACTACAAAATATGAAGCCTGGTTTTTTTTTTTTAACTAGTACGCTACAAACAGAAAAAATATATACTAAAATATTATAATTTTAAAAATATTTATCAGTATGTTATATTTAAAATTAGTCTTGACAAGAATGATTTTCAAATTATACACAACTCGTTCTTGTCAAGAACAATTTGTATGTTATATGATAAAAAGTAAAGTTGTTTTTGATGTGAATGATTTCACTTTTTAACTATTCATTTCCCATATGAGAATCTCTTTGCTATTTCCTTTCCATTGCTCACTTCTCTCACTTGTCAACATAATTCTTTTTTTTCCATGCAAACTCGTAAGGCCACAGCAATTTGCGTGCTTTTATATATTTACATGTTCAGTTTTTATTTCCTGCTTCGTCTCCTATCATCCCGGAGCTGCTTATTCTTTTTCTTCTTTTCAGTGGTTCACTTGTTCTATTTTCATTGTTTTCTTGCTCTGTTATTTTTCACTCTATTCCTAAACACTTGATAAGCTCGATTACTGCTGTTGTCGGTATGTTGTTTCTCTTCGATTTTTTTTAAAAAAAATTTGCAGTTGCGATATAGAAATTGATTTTTCATCCATACTACCCTTGAGGAGCTAATATTTCATTATTCTTATTTTCAGGAGGTGAGTGGTGGATTCAACAATTTGAAATATTTGTATTCTTTTTAAGCTATGTGTCTTTTATTTTGACGGTAAAACTATCATATGTTATATTATTTTAAGATATTAAGATTTTGATATAAGTTCCAATCTTTTTTTAGTATATGATTATTATTTTTTCTTATGAAAGTATACTTCTTCAAGAGTTTAAATTTGGTAAGATAAAACTGAAAAACAATTATATATATACACTCTAAATATCAAATCTGTGGCATATATTAAGTTGGTTAAAAAAAAAAAAGTATTATACCCACCTCAAGTGAACTATTGCTTTCATATATTTTTTAGGTTAAAATAAGGTGTAAGTAATAAAAAACTGAAATGAATCAAGGGCACTCGTAATTTCTTTTCTTCATTTTGCCTTTTTCCTGTTATTTGCTATGTTGTATTTTTTAATCGGTAATGACTTGTTGTGACATTAGTGTTTTGAATCAAGAGTAAAATAGTTTGACCATACTTCTAGTTTGCATCAATTATATAGACCTCATCTCTATTTTAAAAATATTCAATTTAGTCCAATTATTTAACACCGTTAAGAGTATTCTAACATATTTATTACTTTTTATTTTTAATTAATATACATTTTATACTCATTTCACGATTAGTTTTAATATTATTATGTAATTATCAACACTTTCCTTCCATTATGAAGTCATGATTTTTCATTCAAATTATTGATAAATTATTATATTAATTATTTTATTTTCATTTATTAGGAGAGAAGGTGAGAAGTTGTTTGGCGGGAGATAAAGTTTTGAAATCATTTGTTAGAAGAACGATTTTCAGTCACTTCACACATATTGATGACTGATTTTGAAGAAATTGTTCATCAAAAGAATAACTTTAAAAATTATTCATCTAAAGAACGATTTTAAATATAGTATATTAATAAATACTATTAAAAATACAGTATTTTGGTGTATATTTTTAATGTTTATAGCATGTTGGTAAAAAAGCCTATGAAGCCTCCATGGGGACTGGGGTGACACAAACACGCGCCAAGATTGAGTAAAGTTTCGCGGTGATTGTGTGTTTGTGTGTTTTTTGTTGTTGTTATAAGTGTGTTTGTGTTATATCCAATGATTATTGCTATATTAAGGTTATCAGAGGAAAAAGCCCAAAAGATGATTGTTGTGGTACTGGCCCACTACAACACTTTAACATGAAAATTTGTATCTGGAGCCCAATCTAAATTGGGCTGGATTGATACACTGTGCTGCCACAGGTTTTTTTTTTTTTTTAAACGTAAACTGTTTTAAAAAACATTTCCACAATAATTTTATGTAAGGTCAATAGTCACCTAATTTTATATAAAATTTTAATTTGTTTCATTAACTTTAAAAAGTAGTATATTTTTAATTTTTTAATCTTAAAACTGTTGATAAAACATGATATTATAAAGATTTTGACTGTTGATAAAACACTATCAAATGTTAACACATTAAGTTTAGTATTTTAAACAACATAATTGTTAAAAAATAATCATTTAAAACTAATAATTTTAAAATTAAAGAATTAAAAATATATTTTTTAAAATTAAAATTTTATATAAATTAAGATACTAAATATATGTTTTTTTTTGTGCTAAAGCATAAGTATCTTCTTATTGGAGGCAATCTTATTTAAGGTATTGTCGGGCATTAAATGTGAGCACCTCTTCTTACAGGGATTCAAATATTGGTTCATTACGTTATGAGAGACTAACCCTTTTCTTTAGACCCACTATTGTTGGTTAAATATATGCTTTTAACTTTGTGTAATGAAGTGTCCCTCTATTATACCGTTTGTTGTCTGACCACCTAAAAGTAATGAAGAGCCTCATTGTTATTACCTTTTCCTGCCTTACTCCCAGACACACACACACACACGTGCGCGCGCGCGCGTGTATATTAATTACTAATCAGTTGATGAACATTTTTCTGCCAACAAATCAGTTGATAAACTTGGACAACTCATATATGAAACAAGACAAACAACAACAAAACATGCCGAGTTTCACAATTGCGTGGAGGCAGGTGCAAACAACTTTCTCCTTTTGTAACTAAGATCAGTCTCAAGAAACAAACAATATCAGACATCACAGATTCATCATGGCCCCTATTTTTATTATGTTGGTTAACATATGCAGAAAACCACTTTAATCACAACAATAATCAGACGTTAGGAACCCCCCCCCCCCAAAAAAAATATGTAGGTTCGGTGTCCAAACCTGCTGTTGACCGTTGCACCAGACCAAGATTTTAAATTCATTCCTGCCTCTGTGCCCCACCACCATTCATCTTCTCCCTTCTCGTCCCTCCTGTTCAGCGAAAGCCTTCTTCTCTCTCTATCTCTCTCACTCTCTAACTCCCAAGATTGCAGCGATGGTGTCGAGGAGGAAGAGAACGCCAGTGAAATCCATTAAGGACACAGCCGCAACGGCCGCCGCCGCCGGCAAAAATCTCCCGTCAAACATGTAGTTGCCCCCTTCTCCGTGCTGGCCTCCATCCGACGTCGCCTCTCAAAGTTTTTCTCCAGATTCACGCGGACCGGCACTCCGAATAGTCACCAAGGATACACAAAATTAAAGAAAATGCATTCCAAAGAACAACATTGCGAAGAATCCTTGAACGACATTAGAAAGACCCTTGTCTTCAACAACCCTCTTCCACCCCTGATCTCATCTGATAAGAGAACCATCTTTCTTGATCTGGACGAGACCCTGATCCACTCCAAGACGGACCCGCCGCCGGAGAGGTTCGATTTCGTCGTAAGGCCTAGGATCGACGGTGTGATGATGAATTTCTACGTGTTGAAGCGACCGGGAGTCGATGAATTCTTGGAATACTTGGCCGCGAAGTTCGAGGTGGTGGTGTTCACCGCAGCCTTGAGAGAGTACGCGTCCATGGTGCTGGACCGGCTCGACCGGAACGGGCTGATCTCGCACCGGCTTTATCGGGACTCGTGCAAACAGGTGGAAGGGAAGTTCGTGAAGGACTTGTCTGAGATGGGGAGGGATTTGAAACGGGTGGTTATTGTCGACGACAACCCGAATTCGTACGAGAACCAACCCGATAACGCGATTCCGATCCCGCCGTTCGTCGACGATCTTCGCGACCGAGAGCTGCAAAAACTCACAAGGTTTTTTCAGGTATCTGACTACTACGATGATATGAGGACGGCCGTGAAATACTACCTTGCCGACGAAGAATGTGCTCTGGATTACTGAAAAGCCTTCAAATTCTTTTGTTTGTGTTTTTTAGAATTCTTGCTTAAGCTGAATCATGGGGGGGGGGGGGGGAACAGAAACAATTCTTGCTTCAGATTGAAGAGTTGAACAATAATATGTTCAATGTGAAATCGAAAAAACAGAATGGAAGTAGGAATCGATGTTGTATTACCAAAATTCATTTATTCAATGTTAGTTGCTAATTTAGCTGAAGTACACATTTCATCCAAATTATAGTTTATAGTTGGTAGCCTTACATTTAACTTCCTGATAGAGGTCTTCAAATATCTTACATAAAGTTAGAAGGTGACAACGTAAATGAATTTAATCTCCGCCTTTTCTCGAATAGTTGTTTAAGAACCAACGCCCGAACCGATTGGTATTTGGTATTATAGCTAGAAAACTTAGAGCATCGTAACGCCATTGTTCTTCAGTATGGTATTTTCTTCTTAGGATCATCGAACGTAGCTTTAACAACAATCACATTGTAATGTCCGTTTCCCAAATTTGTAGTACGCGCTTGTGACAAAAATGTGCTGTCTACAGGCATAACTAGTTCATTTTCAAATCTTATGTGCTGTTTTTGCGCCATCAACCTCAGATTTTACAATATTACGCTAACAAGTGATTTTTTGGCAGGATTAATTAATTAAATGATATATTTATATAATTTTTAAAAATATGTATGATCTCAAAAAGAATGGTGAAAAAGATCTGCACAAATCACAATATGATGTGCAATCAGCCACGTTTTGTCTTGAACCGTATATAGTAAGTCATAGTGTTTTCATTAATATTAAATAATATAATTTATTGTAGATTTTAAATATTAAAAAAAGGCAAATACACTCTAGAGACCACTTGCCCTTCAAAATTCTGCATACCATTCTGACGCACCCGAGCACTGATTCCTCTCAAATCTCAGGATAAAATTTTACCTACCTCGTTATCTAGGAAGAAATCTCATGGATGCAAAACTGCAAAAGGGTTGCTATTACATGTTATTTTCAGAACCACCCCATTGCAGCACAGATCAGCAAACCTTTCATGAATTCAAAGTAGTAAATATCTAAGCATCCGCAAAATATACAGACAATTTTGAATCTACAGATGATGAAGGATGTGATCAGTTTATCAGAAGTTTTAATTAAGTTCTCCCATTACAAGGTTACAGAATTCCGGCTACACATAAATGGATCAAAGTTGAGCTTCTGTTGATCATCATGTTTGGGATGCAAACACCCATGTAGAGCCATTGCAAAACAGAGTAACATACCAAAAGGAAATTGCAGATCGCTACCCATTTCCAAAAATGGTTAGGGTCCATAGCTCTGAATCTCACCAAGAAAAATCTCAAGCTTCTGGATTCCCAATTTGCCTCTGAGATTCTAATTACAAAAGCCATGTTTCAAATTGAATTTCATTCAAAGATTTCAATCAGCACAAAACAAAATCAAGTACACCACTGATGTCTCCTCTATCGCTGGACATATTCAGTCAGAGAAACCCAAAACCAAAAAAGGAAAACAGCGTATAGAGCCCCGGCCAAAATTTCAAACCGAAAGGAATCTTAACACTCACTCGCAGAAAGGGGGCGTCACAGATCTTAGCCCTAAAAGATCCAAAGTGAACAGATCCTCACCGGATCAACCGCAAGAGAAAACCTGCGGAGGCAATCTCCAAGCCTCGGTTCTACTGAAGCACATGTCGTCTAGGACCTCACTGCGACACCAACTACACTTGTTCTGCAAGCACTGGGATTGCACCACCAGGTCGCCGCAGCTGAGGGGTTTGGCAGCTCTCGATCCAAATAGGCGGCGCGTTGAGTTATTCTCCGGCATTCCACGGCCGTATCGGGAGAACCCATGAGAGGGTTGGTAGAGAGAACCGAGAATAAGGAAGACGATGGGAAGCAAAATCGATGTCTTGGAGATGGGATGAGAGAACGCCATGGATTCAATGGAAGGGTCAAGATTTGAACTTGAACTTCCAGCTTCGCCGAACATAAAATAGAGCTGATGACCTCGCCTCGGAAAGCGCGAAGACAAGCCTGTTTCGACAGTGTACGGTCAGAACACCCATCATTCTCCCGTGAATGGAAAGCGGAATGCTATTTCTCTTGGATAAAACGGCACCGTTTGGATTTATTTGGCTTTTTGCGGACCGCCAAAGTAGACTGTGTTTTTTTGTTTAATTTATTTTAAATCATTTATGAATTTATATGATAGGATATAAAAGTGATTTTTAAGTCATCTCGAATAATTTAGTGCAAGTCTTTGACAAACAAAGAAGAATAATTTAGTACAAGTCATTCTTAACCCCGTCATTGAAAATTAATAAGAGATAATTAAATCACTATTTAATTATTCTATGATTTACCTATGTTAAATGTATCATTTTTAGCTTTCATCGGCACCCTCTCAACCTACCTGTAAAAAATTATGAAAGAGTAAAATTAGAAAAAAAGTAGTTAATAATTCATCTTTTTATATGTAAAGTGACTTACAAAATCAATTATCGATTATCAAGTTTTATTAAAAATGGGTTATATAATTAGAAAAAGGCTGAGAAGAATTAAATTAGCGTTTAAGAAAGGGAAACAGGTTAGAACAGATGCGGAAATATTTTGACGAAAGTACTTTTCTTAAGGCCAAAGTGAAAGTAGCTACTTATTTTTTTTTTTCTCATTTTAAATTACATTAGCTTTATTCTCCATATAAGTCATCTTTAATCATCTCACTAAAATTAATGAAGGTGATTAAATTATTAATTTTATTATCAATACATTATTTTTAATTTACCATTATTTAGCATCATAAATTAAGAAATAATTTTTTCTTCATAATTAAATGTATTTCTAAAAATAGTGAGAATAGGGGCAATTTTAACCAAAGAAATTAAAGTCTCTGTTTAAGTCCATACTCATGAAGAAACGGAAAAAATTTTATTTAATTTTACAGACTAAAATTTGTAGCACTTAACAAAAATTTAGTTTGATGTCATTAGAATTTTCGTCATAGATTTTCAATTTTGTTCTGCAACCAACTTTGATCGATCACGAAAAATTTCGTTTAGTTTGAGTAACCAAAAAAAAAAAAAAACGTTTGGTTTAATTGTGGCGCCAGAAGAGCAATCGAGTGGATCCAGACAATAATTAAAAATAAGTCGATTGTAAATTATTTTGTTACTTTTTCTACGTGCGGTAAATTACTACCCTTGTTTTTAATATAAAATTTTGTTTAATTTTTATTTTAGTTCTAAATATAAAACTCCAATTTACTTTGTCTTTTATATTTATATATTTTTTTGAAGGTAATTATTTTATCAATGATTCTAGCTAATACATTTAATTAATAAGGATATTTTAGAAAAAATACTATCTATTTATTATAAATAATTAACTTAACTTCTATTCTTAATCTCTTCAAATTAGTCAACAAGTTTTTATAATTAGGAGTAAAGGTAGTATTTTTGTTAAACTGTTCATTTTTTAATCCCTTTTATCTAATAAAAACAAATAATGCTCATTATCATGCATACTTTCGAATTTTGGCCCAGAGAAAAGGTTAAGGTTAATCATATGAAAAATAATGAAAAATATTAAATATTGGTTAATGATAATAAATATTACTCCTCCTGTCCTTATTATAAAACCCCATTTGACTTTTTATTTGGTCCTAATTATAAGACCCCAATCCATTTTGTCTCTTATATTTATGTATTTTTTTAAGATAATCCTTCTAATAATAATAGTTTTAGCTAATATACTTAATTAGCAAGGATATTTTAGGAATGACAACACTTATTTATTATAAATAACCAACTTAACTTACTTTCTTAATCTCCTCAAATAAGTCAATTGGGTCTTATAATTAGGACCGGAGTATATAAGAATTGGGAACGAGGCCAACGTAATTACGAGTCCAGAGCCTGTACGCAAGGAAGGCGTAAACCCTCGAGGACCAAGAGAGCTGCAATACGCCATCGAAACTCCAACTCGAATTCTATATCGCACCCTTTTCGTGTTTATTGTGAAAATTTCGATCGTTTGCGCTCAACTGATTTTGTTTTCTCAGCTGAATAGATGTCTGCAAATTCATAATTGTCGATTGACTGATCACATATGGAGATGTCATTTGCCCTATCTGGTGCTTCATAGATTTTATGAACGATGGACGGCAATTGGAAACCTAAGAATCAAGTTGAAGGCGTAGAAGACTTGTCCACGAGGGTTTCTGATTTCTCATTTGGCGACCGGACGCTCAGTTCTCCTCCTGTATGTTTCCTTCCCGTGCCCATCCCCTTCATGTCTCTGTTACTATGGGGTGGACTGAAAATTTCTTTGATTTCTTGTCTTTTGCGTCGCTTCTGGGTTTATGCTTTTGTGCTTATGGAATTTAACTGTGAATTTCTGATGTCTTTTGCAATATCTTTATTTAGGATGAGGATGTCGCATTAAAATACGAAACTGAAAGAGAACAGTATAGATAAATTAATTAAAATCACTTAAATGGAATACCATACCATTGGGTAATTAATGGTGCGTTGTCTTTTAAGACTGAATGTTTGTAGTTTTCTATTATTTATAAGGTATTCTCTTGATACTATTCACAGGGCGATGAGATGATTGGTAATCTGCGAGACCATGTTATCAAGGATAACCATGGTTCTTTTCCTACTGCTGACTTTGAAAAGGATAGTATAAATACTTCCTCGGTGTATCCTGTATTGCCCGAAGAGACATTGGAAAGAAATAAAGAAAATGTAGAAACATCAGGCAACCTTCTGAGGAGAGGAAAATATTTCTATTATGATTCTCCGCTTTATGAAGATACTGGAGTTTGGATACCGGTTTCAGTTCCGCCTATGTTGGAAGGTGAACACGAGGAGCGGGCTAGATGTTTTCACTCAAATGGTGGCTATTTTCCAGAGGGTGACTTGGGATGGAATCAATACCTTGGAGAAGAAAAGGAATTGACTATGTGGGATGTGATAGTAGAAATGCTACTCGCGGCCCGGGGAAAAGTGACTTCTTTGGCTTCAGGAGATATTCATAAATGTAATTTGTCGTGGATATCAAACCTTGTACTTGAACAAGCTTGGAGAGAGATGGCTCAAACTCTCACAGAGGTCA